TAAAAAGAAAGAGAGGTTGGTTTGTAGGTTTTTATTAAAATAACCATACTCGCTTAGTTGCCAACCAAAATCCAATCCTCAATAACTTACAATTAGTTGCCAATCTACAATATTTATTTTTCTTTTTTTTTTTAAAACGTAATTATTAAAAATATCGTTATATTCTTGATAATTCTTCAATTTTCTTTTCACAAATAATTACTTTTCTGTATTTCTTTTTCGAGAGCAGAAAAAAAAAAACAAAAAGATTTCGTATTAATTATCGATTTATTTTCCTATCGAAGTTATCGTAAATCCGTCAAATTGGAGATTAAAACTCAATCGAAAATAAATTTTTTACGATAGCAAATGGAATCACGGTGGTAACGAGAGGATAGAAAGGACCTTTATCGTTCTCGATAGTCACTTAATACCGAGATTTCAAGCATTTTCTTTCCACTTCTATTTTTTTTTTGTTCCTTTTTTTCTTTTCTTTGTTTTTTTTTTTTCTCTATCTTTTTCTTTCTTTCCTTGCAACGAGCGGAAACTCGAAACGATTGCGGTAACGAAGCTCTATCAAGCTGCAGGTATACCTATCATAGGAAGGACGAGATGGAAGGGCTCGAACCGAGGTTCAAGGTAATTCGAACCGGAAGAGGATAGCGCGGGAACGGATTTAATCGAATTTTCTTGCTATCTGATGTCTTCATTAAGCGCTTGGGGTCAAATAGATGATACCCTTCGCGCGTTCGTTAATAAAAATGAAATATTATATAATTTCAAATTCCAATGTTATAACGAACGTGTGTATTGCCCTAATTTATAATATTTAAACTATAACTTCGTTAAAAATTTATTCGAATTATTAAAATGATCCACTTGTTAAATGATTAATTTTATTAATTAAAATAAATCATATTATATAGATATTTTTACGAGTTAGTATTAACTTACTTTTATTTATTTATTTATTTTTTTTCGTTGAGAATAAGTATAAGACGAATATATTTTCAAACAAAAAAAAATTACAATAAAAATTCGTTCGTTCGAATTTTCAAAGAACCTATGATTACAAATATATACTATCACGAACTCTATATATAATATATCACGTATGTTTAATCTGCTACCAGAGATCAGTTGTCCTACTGTTGTTTCCTATTGAACAGAACCCTTAGAATTGAGAATCTACTACTATCGACGATCACGTACGTACCAAAGCAAGCATTCCGAATGCTGTAGTCGTACGATGTGTCTAGCTTTGCCTATTCGAACGTAAAGCACAGTAACGAGTAAGTATTCTACGTTTTACTTCCATTTCAGTAACATTTAATGAAGAATAGGTTAGCCGATATATAACAAGTCAGTAGGAACATTTTCACTTTTGACCAGAATCAACATTGAACGGGGGATTTATGTTGTTCGGTTATGAGATTGAAGGAAGGGGGGGAGTGAGAGGTGGGAGGGGAGGGTGGAAGAGAAGAGAGTTAGTTAGATTGCTGGTAATAATCGTGAACACGAACGAGAAATTCACCCTCTCGAATAATCTTCGTAAAGGGTAAGAGAGTAAAATGCTCTTTCTATTTCTATCTTTCTCTTTCTCTCTTTCTCTCTTTCTCTTTCTATGTTATTTGCAGATCACGTACGAGCTCGAAGCCTCGCTCGGAGGTTTGTTTGACGAGAATAGCCTGGCTCTAACGATTAATCAGTTGCTATTAATTAACCCGGAATCGGTTCCCTTCCTATCTAGCTTTCGTCGACGTGCTCGAGGCTCTTTTCTCTTCAACCCCTTCCTCTAGCACCACCCTGTCGAACATATACGCACGTATAGGATGGAACACATTAAATGTTACAAATTGTGTTTTCTCCAAATAACGCGAATTAGATAATGTTCAATTTTATCAATGTAATTCGTTTTAATAAGAATATTATTCGTACGAATCAATATATAATTGTTAGATTTAGACAAATTTTGTTCGAATCGTTTAACCCTTCTTTGCATGATTTTTTTCTTTTCTTTTAAAATAAATCAGGGTAATGTAATTAATGCTCTAGATTGAAAGAAAAATATTTTAAAAAAAATCCTAGTGCTATTTGTTGACAACTGCGTTTTGTTGTACGCTATAGTCGCTTAAAAAGTTGCCAGCAACAACAAATATACAGTACAAGGGTTTTGAGTACCTTTTTTTCTTGACTAAATATTATGATTGAAATTTCCATCATCATGCAAAGAAGGGTTAAAGTTATCCTAATTCTTATAGATACGTTTATTTATTAATCATATTTATTATTATATTTAATTTAAAGTAACTTGAAAAAGAGAGATAATTCTTGATAATATGGAAAACAATATTATTTTGTAATTAGTTAAGTGAGACCGTTATAATATTGTATATTCATTCAAAAGTTTACCACTTTTGTATATAGAAGCCTTTTAATATAATAGTCAAGAATTTTTCCTAACAATACGTTTTAATTGTTGATTATTAAAGGAAAAATAATGTTTATCGGTAACCTTCCCCCCCCCCCCTTGTGTTTCATTATATTTCAAGTAAAAAACAAGAGTGAAAGAGAGAGATTGAACTTTTCTCGACAAGTAGAAAAGAGGAAACACACTTTGTAACGTAACGTACTTTGAAGTGGGGGACCACTCCTACGTATGAACTTTTTTTCCACGAAGTTTTATAAACCAACACTTAGAAAGTACGCGTCAGAGGCCGTTAATTATGATCAGCCACTTGGTTAATCGCTTTTCTCTTTGGTTCTTTCAACAACGTTACTTTCACTAGGTTGTGTTATATAGTAGTACATATTTAGTAGTAGTAGTAGTAGTAGTAGTTTGCTGCTAGCTAGTTGAACAGCAAGTAGTAGAAGCACCAACATCAGCACCAGCACCAGTACCAGTACCAGCACCAGTACCAGTACCAGCACCAGTACCAGCACCAGCACCAGTACCAGCAACGACGACGACGAAGACGACGATAACAACAGAAGCGGTATTCTGTTGTTAGAGAACGGAAGGGTTGACGTGTGTAAACAGAATCCTGAGTCATTGGTATACACGTTGGTGGTAGTCGAAGAGGGATACACCTAAGCGATCGTAGGTTAGTAGCCTTTCAAATGGGAGGAGTAAAATCCCTCACGTATTTATCGGACGCTTTACTTTTTGATCTTATAACGCTTTACTTTCTTGATATTATTATTTTTTCCTCATGGTTTCTTATTATTTTTTATTTTTTTTTACTTTTTATTTTCGTGTGTCTGTCGTTTTTAAAAAAAGCTTAATATTTATGCGTGCTCGCGTTTATTAAGGCGGTATTAATTATTAATATTATTTGTTATATGTAATATTGTTTGTATAAAAATGTCAATATTATTTATCTATTTAAACAAAATTTTTTACAGCTAAGTCTTTTCTTACTTTTTGGAACTTTTTTTTAATTCCTCGTCTCTCGATTTATTTTATAATCTTCATTTTATTCTTCGATGTCTCTCTTTTATGTTTGTATTGTTTTAATGCTTAATACTTTTAATAATACATGATACAGTTGCTAATATATCAGATGTGTTGATTATGAATTATTATACAATCGCAATCGATCATCAATTATTAATGTCAATATATAATATACGAATTTGATAATAATATTTTTTAATTAGATTAGTTTCGGGGGTGGGGAGGAAGGAGGGACTTACGTTTTAATTATTCCAATTAAAAGCTTTAACATAATTGTCATATAACTTTTAATTAGATTATTTGTTGAACCCTCAAAAAAAAAGAAGAAAAGAAAATAAAAGTAATTGATTAACAAATAACATAATGAAGTAAATATAATAATAATAATAATAATAATAATCGAATGAAAGTGATACGTGTGGTCAATATGGGGAAACTCGCTTGATGACGATCAATTAACGCAATAGTGCAATAGAGGTTGCGTTTTAGAAGAGGTGGGAGGGGTTGGGGGGAGGTGTGGGTGGTAGTTGGTGGTGATTGTAGAGAGTGTTACTGGTATAGAGAAAGCGTCGAAGCGAAATATCGTCGTTTGTACACGTAACGTTTGTTGCAATGGTACTATAGTAGTTGGCAGAGTACTAATACAACTACTACTGTGTTACTATTATTGGATGTATAATAGTCTTAATTAAAATGGCGGTCTAACGAACACCGCTAACTGCGGTAATCCGACGTGCCTCATTGGTAATCCCTTGGCCATACTGACGAACACGAATGCATAACGTTGCTCTCCTTCCTATCACTTTCCCACCCCCTAAATGTCACTCTCTCGTCATTCTCCTAGGCACATCACTATATCCCATAGGAGACTTCTACCCTACTACTACTACTACTACTATTCTACTCCTACGATTACACGCTAGCTAGACAATCGTTATTTAAACGTCATCGAAATCGCAACGATGAAACCTGAAATCTAACACGACAGTGACAAGAGAAGTTAGAGAGAGAGTTAGTTAAACGTCTTCGAAAGGGGCTCTCCCACCAACCATTCCGATAAGATTTATTTCAATGATAATGATATTATCCATGGTAAAACGATAAGTTACGATAGATTTGATTTTGTATAAATTTAATGACAGAATTATCAATATTGTTTTTCATTTGTCTTAATAATGTACACGTTCTTTTTTTTTATTTATACGCGATTATTATCGATTCTTTTTCTTATATATGACAATGAATTTTTTTTTTTTTTTTTTTTTTTTATTAAAAGTTCACATCATCAATTAACTCGTTTAGAATTTATTGTAGTGTGATTTGGTTAATTATATATATATGAAAAAAGAAAGAAGGAAATTAATTTTGATTGACTTACAAAAATGATTATTATTTAAGCAGTTGATTTATAATAATATATTGAAAGATAACGGGCAAGTTATATTTTTTGTGAAGTAAAAAATGTGATTTAAATTATAGAAATGTTACCTTTTGCATGTAGAAAAAAAGAAAGACATTTAATATAAAATTATTAATTATAATGTTAAGATATGTTTGAAATTACCTGGTAGCAATAAGAGGACAAGTAATACTGGGTGATGCCCATGCTTCAGGACTCCATGGTGCACACTCGTAAAGCCTTAATTCTCGTCCAGAAACCGCACCAAAGACGCTACGCCATCCACCTGCACAACCAGTTGCCAAAGCAAATCCACTTCCAACACCTCGAGAAGTACTTGCACTACTTCCGGCTCCATCCTCGCTACTCTCGCTGCTTGCACTTCCTTTCTGTTATCAGATATCAATATCGTATATCGTTAATATCAAATTTAATCTCATCACAAATAAATATATCTATAGATTTATATTTAATAGGAAAAATCAAAGGGAGAGTTAAGTACATTTTTAATATATTTATTATTAATTTTAATTCATTATCATTCGAAAAATTTTAAACGATCACAAAAATATATAAATCTATTACTTAAGATTCAGATTTATAGTATACTTCTTTTCTTTTTTTTTTTAATTATATAATTAATTGAAATTTAAATTTAGATATATGCGTATGGGATAATAATATCTCAATTTTATAAAATATTACAAATCAATC